TCATAGGAAGGTGAACCAAGTTACCAAGTCTGACTCTTTTCCACTTCCACATATAGAGGATTACGTGGACCAGTTCCGGCTTGGTGAAGTTTGTCAGTAAGTTTGACTTACTTAAAGATTACTGGCAGGTTCATTTGATGCCTCGAGCTAGGGAGATTGCATTTATTACACCCAGTGGTTTGTATTCCTACAGTTATGCCATTTGGTTTACGTAATGCCCCAGCTACCTTCCAGCGCCTAATGAACAAGGTGATGTCTGGATTGGTGGGCTGTGCTGTGTACTTGGATGATGTTGTGATTTATAGCGACTCCTTGGAAGATCACCTTCAGCGCATCTGGGCCCTGTTTGACCAGTTACCCTGGGCATTGCTCACTGTTAACCTGGCAAAATGTGAGTTTGCCAAGGCAACCGTCACCTACCTGGGTAAGGTAGTTGGGCAGGTGTGCCCAGTAAGGGCTAAGGTGTTAGCAATTGATCAGTTTCCCATGCCAACGACCAAGAAGGAACTTTCTTGTTTCTTGGGAATGGTGGGTTACTACCATGGGTTCTGCAAAAATTTCTCAACAGTGGTTTCTCCGCTCACTTCCCTTCTTAGTCCAAAGGTTAAATTTGAATGGTCTCTTCACTGTCAAGAAGCTTTCAACTGTCTTAGCAGCTCCTCAGATGAACCAGCCCTTCTTGCTCTATGTGGATGCTAGTAAGGTGGGAGCTGGTGCTGTACTCATGCAGGCCAATGAAAAGGGTATCGATTGTCTGGTGAGTTTCTTTTCTAAAAAGTTCAACTCGCATGAATTGAACTACTCTATTATGGAAAAGGAATCACTGGCACTCATCTGGGCCTTGAAACACTTTGAAGTTTATGTTGGGGGTGGAGTAAATCCGTTGGTGGTGTACACCGATCATAACCCTCTAACTTTCCTCCACTCTCTCCAAAACCCAAATCAGCGTCTTATGCGTTAGTGTCTGTTCCTCCAGCCTTTCCATTTAGACATCCGTCATGTCAAGGGAGATGAGAACACAGTTGCTGATGCCATGTCTTGAGCTATGCCTGTTTAAGTTGACTTGTGTGCTTCCTGCCTGTTCTGATTCACCTCTTAAACTGCTCCCTAGGTACCAGGGTTGCCGAGGGATGTGGCATTTCACGGTCTTGGGAGACGATTACTTGCAGGTTGTATGGATATGAACAAGTTTATACGATATAGCTTATATGGCGTTCCCCTGGTTAAGGCTAATATACCGGAGGATTTGGATTAAGGACCTTAAGCTGTTTAGCTTGGTTATTATTATTTGAGAAATGTAAGTTGTTTTCTTGCTGTAGTTGTTTTTTTGGGATCTAGTTAGGACCCCCATTTTAAGGGAGGGGGTGTGATGACCCTTTTCCATTCTCCTGGCATGTTGCCTCACTCTTCTCCTGCAGTTATGGGAGTTGGCTGGAAGGTGGAGTTTGGAGGGTGGTTAGTTAATACCGGCCCATTTTGGTAGGGCCTCCCAAAAGGCATAAAGGTCCACCCCTCAGGTAGTCTCCCTCTCTCAGCTGGGCCTGCTGCAGCTTCTACAGCCTGTCTCTTTGTTTGGTTTGTTACATCTTACAACATGCACTACACCATATTTTCACCCATCCACACACTTCTAACATGACTGATGACTTTCTTACTTACACACACCATTTGGTTGGTTACTTTGTTTATTCATTTGAGTTAAATAAATCGTTTCTTGATTTGAAGTGATTGTGTGTGGCCTCCCTCTTTGTTGCCGGCTTAGAGCCAGTCGGTAACAACCTACAGACTTTTATTTTAAGCAGTCCATCTATTTTCAAAGGTGGTAACGGAACAATTAAAGCTGCAACTAGTGGTTATTTCATCAACAATGAACCTGTCAACGATTAACTAATTAAATGCTTTTTCTATGAAAAACATTGTAAAATTAGCACAGTCCAAAGAAATGTCTTCAAATTGCTTGTTTTGTTTGAGCAAAAGTCAAAAGCCCAAAGATATTTAATTTGATAAAGGAAGCAAATGCTCACATTGGAGAAACTGGAACCAGACAATATTTGATGTTTTTGTCTGAAAAATGACTTAAAATAACTTTTTTTGATGATTGACTTGAAATTAGTTGACTAAACATTTCTGCTCTAATAATGATTTTGTATAAACATTGTCCAAACTTTTTGGTGAATATTAAGTTGTTTTTTGTTATGTCCTTTCAAAGACATGTAGAGCCAAAACAAACATCTACATGCCTGGTGTGATTCTTAAATTTTGTTGAATTTCTTTGAGGGAATTTGATGAAGTGTGAGGTGTGACAAAGTTGCTGAGCTGTGACATCACCATGGATCATGTGTTTCTCTCCTGTGATTTCCACCTGAGGCTCATTAGTGGGATGAGTAAGGAACAAAAACCTGCTCCTCTTATGGGCCACGAGTGTAAATGATGTAGGTACAAGAAACTTAGATCTTTATGGTGAAATTACAGCAAAGCAGATGGCTAGCACACTGGGTGCTGTTCAATGCATTTGTCTGACATTTGGAGCTAAGTGTAACTCTTACCCCCCACCCCCACCCCCCCCCCCCTCCAGGCCAAAGCACCTGTCTGGACAACAATACCTGCTTGAATCCTTCATCACATAACTCTTAAAATCCCTCTTAATCCCTGAAATGGAGATCTCGCCTGTGTTCCAGCCCATTACATAGTTCGTACGCTAGATTTCTTTGAAATGTAGTTCTGCTATGTTCCAGCATATACCTTCACAGCTTAACCTACATAAGTCCATTGATCTGTGTCTCACCAACACAACGCTAGCATGTTAAGCATTGCCTAATCTGTCTCATGCTACCTGGATTTTCATATTGGAGAAATAATCCTGATGAAGGGGAAGTGGGGGGGCAGAGTCACCTCAGGACCTGTTTAAAAGCTTCTTATCAGAGACCTGCACTCCCACCATTTAGCTAAAAGAGGAGTGATAGCCTTTCAACTCACAAGCCGCAGCTTTAATTAAAGCTACTTGTGGGTAAGATGAGGTACAGTTGTGTGTATGAGTTGGCCCTCTAGAAATCTAAATTGTGTCCAAAACAATACAGTTCAGTCGACGACTATGGTCTTTTCACATCCACTGTAAAACACTTTCCTCCACATAACATGTTAACCTGGCCTAAAAGTGATTTTTGTAAGCAGGTCCAAATTTTCAAAGGTTATACCAAACTGTCGGAGGCCAGAAAAAAAGAATTAGTTAAACCATATAAATGAATAAGCAAATATAAACCACTTATGTCAACTGTGAGGGAATTTTGAAAAAAATATTGGATCCTGTTTAACAGTGAATTTGTGTTTTTTACATCTGTTTAGATTTAAATCCAATCATAACAATCATAGCAATACCAGTAATATAACCCAAAAGCAATAAACAAGATATGACCTGATAATTTTTTCCTCTTCATTTTGAGTCCAGTCATATGAGGCTGAATAAAAACGTGCACACATCTTGTCTTATACACACTTTTTGCTCTGTCTGGCAGCTATTCTACACTTCACCAGTGCTGAGAAGTGCAGTACATTTACACAAAGTATATTTACACAAGTGCTGTACAATTTTGAGGTACTCAGACTTTAATGGAGTATTTCCCTTACAAAAACGCAGTGTCTAGCTGAGGCCCCTGGTCGTGTCTCAGATGTCTGAGTTGTTCAACCAAAGAGGCATTTTTCTCCTCTGAACTTCTCAGATGGTTTTATTGAACCATTCAAGGCCCAAAACAGGTGAAAGCATCCTATATTCAACAAAAAAAATGAAAGTCCAAAAAAAGGAATACAAATTCATGTGGTAGAACTTTTTTTTTTTTTTTTGTGAGCTTTTCAAGAAGCCACTGAACCACATTTTGCTGATAATACTCAAGTCATTTTATGTGAGAGAAATTTCAAATTAAAGACTTGTAATGGAGTATTTTCACACTGTTGCATTGATACGCTTACTGAGTAAATGATCTGAGTACTTCCTTCACCACTGCACTTTTTTAAAAAGAATCAGATTAGTGAATTAATTCAGAGCTATGTTCGGGTATCCTAGTGTTTTCTGATGTCACAATTTGGTTTCCTCTTTGCCACAACTTAGAAAATAGAAAATAGAGTTGCACTTCTCTTGGTGAGTGGGTGAAGCATTGCCATCCCAGGATATTTTCATTATCATGTTTATCTAAAGTTTGTTTTTTTGTTTTTGTGCTGTTGCATATCAAGGGTGTTGCTGCAATGCTGTCTAACAGCTCAAAATTTTTAAAGTGTTTCACCTCAACCATTGATGTTATGGCAGTCATCTTGCATCATCCACGTATGCACTCATAGAGCAGTTGAGCAGTTGTGTATTTAATGTGCTGTAGTGGGGATTTATCTCATGCACAGTCATACTGCAGCCAAGAATTGCAAACTGTAATCTACAAACCAGACTTTCTCCCGGTCTTCAACGGTTCAATTTTGTTTTTTGAGCCTGAACTGAACTTGATTTGTTGTCACAGTGGTTGGCTTGGAAATTCCCTCTCTTCCATTAAGGCTGTCGTTTGACTGTACTTTTACTAACTGGAGTAGGCACTCTGCGTTTGGTTGGTTTTACAACTTTGATGAAATGTTATTGCTCCCTTAGAAGGTTTGGTTGCAATTTGAGCTGGTGCTTTACTTAGCTCTTCAAATTTTAATGCACAACAGGAAATTCACCAGGAGTAACAATAATTCATAAAAAAGACCATATTAGCTCAGTCAGTATCTGGTAATAGCTGTTTAAAGACCAAAACAATTTACACTAGGTATCAGAAGCAAAAATGTGTTACCATTACACATTATTACTATGCTGTCTAGCAAATATTTGAGAAAACCTTTCCAAATTGTTTCTGATGAAGATATTGAGATAGAAATAAAACACCGTCAGCTAAAGAAAAATGAAACAGAAATCCATCAAGAGCAAAGATTTTTTTTCTTTTTTTTTTCAAAGAAGAAAAAGGAAACGAGGCTTGTAGCCAAAATCGTTTATTTTCCTTTTAGTTTCCATCAATATTCTTTTTTTTCTGTTACACAAAGCTTGTGACAAAGGAGTACATACATTCATTAGGCAGGTCAAAAGAAGGTAAAAGGAGGAGCTATAGCGGGCACCTGATTCTGGTTAATGATCAGTACTTGAAAAAGAAACAAAACAAGGCAGCTATGGCAGCCTAAAGTCATACCTAAACTGGCAACAGCATGGACCAACAGAGGAGCAGCAGACAGGGGAATGTATGACAGCAATCAGTTTGAAGAGGCCCAACAGAAACATGGACAATTATGAAGTGCCATTTATACTGTAGAAGCAGATAAGCAAAAGAGACAGCATTACCTAAGTGTTCGGAGCTTGTTAAAAAGCAGAAAGACTGATTTGGTAACATTGCTACTGTTACTTTTTCCACACTGAACAGTTTTATTCAATGACAGAAACCGTGTGTGGTTAAAAGTGAAAGTGGATTAAAGAAGAGTGAAAGAAAGTAAAAGAGAGGATGGTTTGTCCAGTTCATCAGCTGTAGAAAAGAAACACAGGCTTTCTTTTTAAAAAAAAGTTATTGTGAAACGTGGATATTTGCTCTTCAACAGTCACTTCTGCTGCAACCTGGCAGCTTTAAACTTAGACACCCTTTTCGGGGCCTGCTGGGGCGGTGCCGCGTCGGGCGCCACCTCCTCTTGTTTCCTCTCCAGTATGGTCGGCAGGGCCGGTGGAGCGATGGTCAGGTGTGGAACCGTTGAAGGCATCGGGTCCTTTTCTACCACTGTACCTGAAAAGGCCTGGAAGAAATGAGAGAAATGTTTTCATGCTGCGTTTTCTTGTTCACACTGCCTACTGTGACTGACATTTAGAGAGTTGTTTGACCACAGGCAGCTCCCACTTCAACTTAAAGAGGCTTCTGTGGGAGTTTTGTTATGTTCTCATTAAGATGCGTGAGGCTCAGAGGTGCCATTCTCATAAACTGTTTCATAATATAGGTATGCAGCCGAGGCCTTCACGCTCTAACTGTGATTGAAGACTACACAAAGAAACTTGACTGGGATCTGTTTAGATAAAAAAGACAGTGAGAAGTATAACAAAAATTATAACACAACCAATGTGTTTTACCTCAAATCTGCTGGCGGGGTGCAGTGGCACCGCCGTAGGACTGTCCTCCTCTGTAATGCCGTCACTGGTGTCGCTGTGCGTTGCCTCGTCGTGACTGAAGCTGCGTCCGATCATCCGGCGCTCGTCAAAGTCTGCCGCGCTGCTCTCGCTCGTGTCGCTGCACACGCTGTTCTCTCTGCTCCGTGACTTTAGGATGGACTTTCTGGGGATGGGTTCCCCGTTCTTCACGTCCACAAACAACCTGAGAGAAAAACAACAATCAGCCGGTGTCACTAAGCAATTCAACAATAATTCATTAAGGTCCTAGTGTGTTGTTTTTTTTTTTTTTACCTGTAAATGTCTGCTGGTGTTGTGATTTTGTGAAGTTCGTGATGGGAGTGTCCATTGTTGTGTCCGTTTTTCTTTTTCCTCTTTGAATGTTCCTTCTGCTCTTTCCTTTCACTGAACTTCAATGTGGTGTTTTTTCCTGTGTTTATCCTCACCTGAGGCAAGAGTCAGAACCGGGTCAAGGTAAAGGCAAAGTCACCAAAACAGAATTAAACGGCAGAATGTAAAGAGGAGAAAAGAGCAAAAGCTTTATCACTCTGACCTTCTTGGGTTCGACTGTGTGAGAGAAGAAGATGGTAGGCAAGCAGTTGCCTTCTTCTTCCTCGTCATCGTCCTCCTCTTTGCGGTCCACGTTTGCTGGAGCTTTGCTGTGGGGCACAGAGCTCCAGCTTGGCTTCAGACTCAGTCCATTGACAGGAGGAGCAGCATCTCCCTCCTTCTCCTCCTCTGAGGAAGAGGATGATGTGTCCTCTCCATTCACATCTGCATTATCAGATAATCTGAAGGAAAACAATCCATGAAATATTTCAATTTCTTACCAGATCAAAGTTACTGAGAAATATTCACTGGCAAAAAAAAAGCAGGCCCCTGTGTACTCATGTACCTGTACTGCTCATCTTGTAGCTCCTCCATTTTCTCCAGTTCATCCAATCTAGCCCAAAGCTCCTCCTCAGTCAGGATGCCTTTTCTGCTCCCTCCATCTCCTCCATCTCTGCCCTCTCCGTCATTCTCCTCGTCCTCCTCTTTTAGATCAAATATGGCATCCAGCTTTGGCTTAGAATTTGGTTTGTGAGCTATTCTTTGCCTGCCTGTTAAAGCAGACAAAATGGAAGACTAAATGTCAATCTGAGTTTGGGTTAAAGCTTTCTTTGTCTTCTCATTTGTGCACCATGCAAGATGCACAAATAAAATGAGGGCAGAGGAAAGACTGACAAAGATACCTTTGATGACAGCAGTGTCATTATTTCCGACGTCTTCTCTGATGTCAACATAGTCCCCTTTACTCTAAAGAACAAGCAGGGTCAATACATTTGTCCTCATTTATACTTTATGCAATATCTTATCTGTGAGATGACTGGTAGTAATGCAACATACGGCTGAGATTGTTTCCAAATCCTTTGCAAACCCAACTCTGGCTTCAAAGTTTTTCACAGTCTTGGATAGATTGTCAAGTTCACTCTTTACATCTGTAGAGGGAAAAAAAAGGTGCATTATCATGAAAATGCATGCAGAGTTGGAGGCAGACTGACAAAATCCATCGTGCAAAAAAAAAAAAAAAAAAAAACTGGCTGCAGGCTACAAGAGATTTCAATAAAACATTTAACACAGCAATGACAACCAGCTGCTAAAGAGTTAAAATTCTAAACAAGTTGGGGGGAAAAAAATTGAAAAATGATGACACAAACAGTTCATAATATCTTCTGCCCTGAATACTACTCCGGATCATTAAATCTTCACAACAATTAAGCCCTTTTACTAATAGCAGCAGAGGGCCCTTGTTTCCATGGCGATCGGGAGCCCCTCCAGTCAGTGCATCAACTGGAAGTGAGGAAAGGTCAAACACAGAAGGCCTGACAACTCAGCCGCTGTCTGACACATTTCAGCTAGCTATGTTTGTATTACAGCACTTAGCTCTGTAATAGCGGGGTGGGCAGGGTCAGGAGATAGGAGGCAGAGGGGAGGGGGGTAGTGGTGGGGGGACAGACGGCTGCGGATGGGCTGTGGCAGCACATTTCTGCTTCACTAAACACCCTAATAATGTTCACATCAGAGATCGTTACTTGGGCCCATTTGACTTGATATGAGATTTTCAGACATAGAATGAACAGCAGGGAAAACACTGGAAAAAAACAGCTACATATATTTGACTTATTCTTCTGCAAGAAACAATGTTGCAATGATTTGACTTGCTTTGACCACAGGGGAGGAAAAGTTGCGATTTGCTTTTCCAAGATTTACAACAGAGGTAGGGACAGCGGGGTTCTGTGATGAATGAATGCAAAAGTAAAACAGTGAATAAGTTCTACAAATGTGCCTTGTAGCTTCCACCCGTGTGAAAAAAAGTGCCCTGCAGATGTCAGAAATCATGCAGCACTTCCGTACAGTTATTACAAACAGTGTTACACTTGCAGTGTCTGTGTATAGCATAGATATAGTCAAAAGTTTCTCGCACAGTTAAATGTTGAATCATGGCACAGCTAAAAGTAAGTTTGTCTCTTCAGTGCTAAGACAAGCCATCCAGACTTGATGCAGCTACACCCTCTGGTGGACGAAGACCAGCAGTGTCAATTGATTACATTAAAAATAAACAAAGCAATCTGTTTACAGAGAGGAACACAGACTCACATTTCATCCTGTGATCAACAATTTTCTGAGCTTGCTTGGCAGAGCACTTAGCGAACCAGTTGTCACCGAGCAACGCTGTGACCTCATTGGTGTGCACCAGCTTCCCAGGCATGAAGGCCAGAGGTCCAAAGGGCACCTGTTTATAGCACAATGAGCAGAGGGAAGAAGAGCAGAAACGATTGAAAGAAGGTGGCAGAATGTGGGCATGAAAGTGGGAGAAAAGAAGAAATAAAACTCTCAATGCCAGTAGTAAAAATGTATATGTTTAGGGTCAGCTTCTGCAAAGTTAAGAAGCTTGTGACACAGGTTAATGGTAAACTTACCATTTGCAACAGGAATTCACTTTAAAACTAACCCCCAATTCCTGGGGTAGAGTAAATGAGTCTGTATGTGTTCTCTGTTCTTGTGAGGTTAGCACTCACCATGATGTCATAGGACAGTTGATCTGGAAGAGTTTTAAGACGGTCACTCAGGGCTTCATAGTCACCTGACACCTTGTTCCTGCAATTTCATGGATTTACAATGACATTAGGCCAAGAACTCTTCAAATTAGTATTTTTTTCCTGCTAAAGTTCCATCTCTATTATAAAGTCATTTGTTGTCCAATTACATTTGTTTGACTTATTTTGGGAAATTAAACAGGACAATGGGAAGCAAACCACAGCTATGGAGTAATGGGGAAGTGCAGATTTCAGGGGAGACATGATATAAACCAAAATGGCTTCAAGATGTCGCTAGTAGTTATTTGTAGTAGAACGATGTAAAACTTTAGACTTCGGAGGAAGTCATGACAACAGAGTACGCTATACTATGATGGCATCTTCAATGCAGATTAAGAACACAGAAATGTATCCAGTTACTCTCTCTCTTTCATCAAAGCAGTTTGGAAATACAGTTAGCAGAGGTTTGTTAGCTTTGTACATAATATGAACTCCTCATGTTGGCATAACTTCCAATTACTCTTGCAGCAATTATTTTGTAGGCAGAAGAAAGCACTATGCATCCAAAATCCCTTAACATAGGAAAAACAGAGATTTATTAGTCTAATTGGTTGCTCTATAGTAATCCGTTGAAGACTGTTGTTCCCTTTACACGCTCCTAAAAGAAAGTTTTCTGAGAAAGAAAGTTTTAAATATAAGTTATCATGTGTTAAAAGTAGTTTTACTAATACTATATAATATTTATAAAGATGTGAGAAAGACAGAGAACTTCTTTGAATGTCATAACAAACAGACCTTTTTGACAGAAGACATTTTGACATGTTACAGTAGGAAAAGCACAGGTGTAGATAACAAAATTGGCAATGGCTAAATTCCATTTTGCCATTTCAGGTTCAGGGTCCTACTATTGTTCATGTTGGCTCACTGTTATACTGTCATAACTTACTGGGACACTTGACTAGAACAGAGCCATTGTTAATGTGGTTAGTAACCCCTGTGATGAATACTGGACTTTTGGACCCATTTGCAATAAACTGGACTCACAAATTTTTTTTATGGTATTTTATTGCTCTTTTTTGAAATTGAAAAAGTCACCGCTGTTTACTTGTATGGGCCTTACACATCTGCACATGTTGTTGTTGTCAGTTGTTGTGCCTTCAAACCTATGCTAATGCCACATCCACATAATTTGGGATGGATGGTAGAGTTGGGAAAGATTCCCATTTTACTTGCAAGCGTTCACGATTAAGACTGCTGTATGAATACAGAATTGGTCATGTGAGGATTAAAATACTGTGCGCTGACAATACCATATCCACTCTAGGTGGATGGACACTAGGTTTTTGGCTGATGTGAGGTGTTTGCTTCAGAGGAACTTCGTATCATTAAATATATCTGAGTTTTCAGAAATATCATTCGTTTCAATGTTGTAATTATGACTTGGAAGTTGTGGGAATGCTGTTCACAAGTGGGAAACTCATAATTATAATAACTCTGATAAAGGATATGACTGCGACATCAGGTTACATTTGAACAGACGTATGCTGAGAATTATGCGAGGCCACTGCACTCAATGTACCAATAACAATGATAATGCCCAACAAGTCCAATAGGAGAGTTGGAGTGATGTCAACAGTCTGTACAAGCCCACACAGTCCTGAGAAGAACAGGAAGTGAAAACACCTATGTGTATGATGCACCATGGTGCTGAGGCCTTTTTAAGACTGACAGTAGGGCTTCTCAGTTTTAATTACCATGATACTCTTGACCACTATAGCTTTGCCCCAACTTGAATCTGAGGAGAGATCTAACAAAGTGGCATAAAATGGAACGAAACTCATTGTTCACAAAGGTAGATAACTGTATTTCGTCCATTCGGCAGTTCATTACTGAAAACCACTGTTGGTGTGTAGGGCCTTTAAAGTTGGTGTTGTACTGAAAATGCTCCTTCCTGCCACTGCAACTGTGTTTGGGAAGCAGGAATAAACGGCCTAATTATGGCATACTTGAAACAAATGCCTCTGATTGGTCAGGGAGTGTTTCATTTGTTGATTTTGACCAGAGCTGGCACTCTTAACGCAAGCCATCAATATTACACAGAATCATGCTTGATTAATTGGAAGCCAAACTCGTGGTTATTATGATAAACTGAATGAACACACAGACCTCAATGACAGAAAGGAGAGTAGATGATGACAGGAGCTTCACTTCTAAGTGAAACAATCATTCAATTTCCTTGTCAAATTAGCTGTATTCATAGATATTGGATTACTCAGAGACAAGCAAGTACAAGTGCAGAAGAGCTACTGCTGGTCCAACTAAACATTGGCTGTGACTTATTTATGTATTGTATAATCAGGGTTTGTGCAGGATAGGACTATATCTATATATATCTTTAATGTTAACCAAGTCAAATTTGAAGGCTAATCCTGAGCTTTTGTATGACTTTTCTTTACACAGATACACATATTTTCTATATTTCCACAGAAAAAGCTATCATACTGGCACCTGTATTCACCAGCTGTTTTTTGCTGCTTTGTGTGACGTCACTGTACTACTGTAGCACACCACATTTTGTTGTAGTGTATGTAGTGTACTCAAAAGCAAACAAATCGCTATCACTATGCAACTGCCAAAATAGTACATGGGACTTTCTTAATGCTTACCAGTGTTGAATCCGACTTTCACAGTCTTTCACCACCTGTTTTTAGGACAAATAATTTCGATATGAATATGCTGGAAATCTATGCAATTTTCACATTCTTGTGCTGATGATTTAATAACCTAAAGTTGGTAGAGTTAGTAGTTTAACAATTCTTAACCATTTTCAGATTAGTGCTTTAATGTGACTGATACTGCAAACACAAGAATTATAAATATTTTGCCTAAGTTAAAGAATCACAGCAAAATAAACCAAATCAGCGAAGCAGGAGAGGGAAAGCAAAAGGGAAAACAAATTTGTCAAAACTACATCCAAATGGTCAGAACATCTACACAAACACCCCTCCACTGTGATATATGACGATATGCTTTTAATGTAAACCAACGCTTTCCACAGTTTGTTGCAGTCTGAAGCCCTTCACATAAAATGAGAAATACCAGCATAAAATTTCAGGATAGAACCATCTGATTATTGGTCAGTAACTAGAAGAAAGTGCACTTTGATTACAGTTTCAACTTTAAAGTAAAAAAAAAAACAACTTTCCTAACCCAAAAATTGTTGTAAACTGTGACCTCCTGACTTTCAATATCTATGTTTTTTAAGGGAAGGGGGAGGGGGCGTTGACATGGTAGACTTACTAGCTAGCTCTCTGTTAGCTAGCTGTTGGCAATTCATTAAACCGTTAACTCAGTTACGAAGTCTAGAGGGCAATAACTCCGACAAGCCTGCAAGTGAAAGTGGCAGCAAGAGCACAGAAGTTTATAGAAATGAAACTAAACACACCTTCCTCCAGGCAACAGTTAAAAAAAAGAACTTGAACATGTGAGTGGCTGCAAGGGAAGAAGCTTCTCGAAAATGGGAGTCACAACAACAAACTCACAACTTACACGTGTAAGAATTAGTAAAATTAGTGCACACATGTCTGTATTAAATGTTAAAGGCACTTCAGCGGATCCACTCGTAGGTCAAAGACCCTTGCTGGTCCACCGCGTGGCCAGTAGCTGGCTGTGGTTGGGCTAACGTTGCACGTTAGATACTAGCCAGCGAAATGTTTGGTGTCAACTAGGCACATTACCTTCTCGTGTTCCTCCCGGAGCCTGACAACTCCGCCGAGATGCTCTATATTCATATTACCCTTTTCAGCCATTGTCAACACACATGCACAACGGGAATATGTGGTGTTTTGTGACCCCAAACAAAGCTCAGGGGTTGTTGTGAGTCCTAAAGAAGTGTTTATGAATGCAGCAGCAGCGATTCCTGAGACCCGTTCTGCTCGTGTTCATCAATGGGGCAGTGATAGTTATCCACACTTTCGGAAGTGATATCATCTCACACTCTCATTTCAGGATTTCTGCATGATTTCCAAAAATATCCACGTTTTTAATATTCCAAGATTTGCAAATATTCCTCGTCACTCTCGCTGCGCCATACACCTCGGTCCAATGTCAACACTCCAGGAATACAAATGGAACTTCCGTTCAAAGATTTCAAAATAAAAGACCTCTTTGGTAACGCTTTTGAAAACACTCAATGTTGAACACAAGTTAACATAAAGTTGGACTGGCCATATAATAAATAATTAAAACCAACAACAACAACAAAATTTCTCCATTACAAGTAAAACATCTGCATTCAATATTTAATTTAACTTAAAGCATAGCCAGATCTGCTTGTATTGTATCCATGCAGTCTATGACTGTATCATTATGTCATCATTGTATTGCTGCTCTATCGATTTCCTATTTCATACTATTATTTTGAAAACAGAACATAGTATTTTCCGTTTTTCAGCGAGTTGAACCGAGCTTGACGCGGCTTCTCCTCTCTGTCTCCCGGTGTACTCTGGGTAAATGTGGACGCTTGCACAAATATAAACAGTCGTCTTACTGTAGCGGAATAAATGCAGCTGCAGCGATCAGCACACTGCTACACTTTAACAACCACAACCGTTTACAGAGATTCATTTACTACAAAAGTTAAACCTCCGCATGTGACATAGTAGCTCTGCCGTTCAGTGCACGAGCATTGTAGTAGATAATACTGAAGCATACACATATCTGTATAATGGCCTACACGGTTGTAGGTAGATAGGGTGTTACATGAGCTCAGACGGGGCAATTGGGCTGAACAACTTTAGTTTCAGAAAAATTAATATAATCCACCCGTGGTCCCAGCCCCCTTCTTGTCAGACACTCATTGGCTGTTTTTGTTGCTTTTAATTGTTTTCGGAAATATCAAAATTACCAACAGCAAAGGCTACTGTGAAACAAGAACCAAGTTGTTAACATGTATGAGACTACCCCTCAACCCATCTTAATTTATAAAGATTTTAATTAACAAATGTATCCTTAATTGTTAATTTCAGCTATTATTACGGGGTTGAGAGTGTCTTAATGAATTATTTCTTAATTTAGGCTACCCCTGAAAACAAACACCTTAAGTAGTCAGGTAAATAGGTTCATCCGCAAAAAACAAAACCTGCTGGTAAATCAAAGTAGATTTTAAGGCATTGCTCTTAAATTACACATGTGCTGCTGCTAGTGCTTTTAGAATAATTTCTGTCTTATTCTTAATATCCTACACATCAACTCTGTCAAAAATTGTTTTAAAACATCTGTAATTAAATACGTAATTTATCATTTTCAGTAACTTTCTGTTGCATGTTCTATAGAAGATATCGTTGGTTGTATGTACCTATTGATTGTTATCCAACCAAAGAGCAGAGATTTCGCGACTGGTTTAGTGTCCCTGAACGCATCATTTTTGTTGTTCCCATAAAGCTTTGCGGCCATAGTCATACAAGCTCAGAAGTCAGGGGAGGCATCAATCGGATAAACAGAGCGTAGTTGAACTAATACCATAGAATAAGCTATAGAAATATTGATGAGGATTTCATAACACAGCAAGGTATGTTAACACCGTTCACTGTCATTACCACAGCAGCCTTTGAATGGATAATACTGTGTAGAAAGGGGTTATAGATGCCACACTGTATTGTTAGCCTATGCCTAACTATGCTTTCTGATGCAATCAGTGCTAATTCACTATTCAGAAGTGGTAGTTGCTTTAGAAAATATTTTAGAGTTCGCCAAAATATTCAGCATGTGCAGGATCATGTTTAGTCCTCTCTATCTTAAATAGCATGATGTATGTCAGTGTATGATTGATTGTGTATTTGAACTGACAATATTTTCCAGATTACTGATTGTATGCTCATTGTTAGGTTGTGAAGTATCTTACAGTGGCACTTTCTGTATTCTCTCCTATTATTATAAATCTGATTCACAGCATGTGTCATCGTGTTGATGATGTTATGAAGCTGTGTTGTGAGCTATCTACCAATCAGCAGATCCAGACCACAGTGAAAGGCTCAGGGAAGGGAGCAGCAGCAGCTGGAGGACTGGCCTTTGCTGGGGGGTTGGTTGGGGGTCCTCTCGGTATTGCAGTGGGTAAGTTGGGGAGAAAATGCAACAGCTCTTTTAACATATCTAAAAAATATTTACAATCCTTTTGACTCACTCATGAATACTGGTAAATTGGAACCACCGTGTGTCTTCCATCAGAGAAGGAAATACTTTTTTTTGCAAACATCTGTTGGACTGTTGGACAGATCAATACTTAACATAGTTTCACAAGTTTGAAACCCTCTTCCCCTGCAGGCGGTGCTGTTGGAGGCCTTCTGGGATGCTGGCTGACCAGTGGACAATTCAAACCGCTGCCTCAGGTCATAATGGAGCTCAGTCCTCTGCAGCAGCAGAAGCTTTATGAAGATCTCATGGTCATCCTGGGAGACATTCAGTGGACAGATTTGGTCCAGCTTACTGCTCTGGTGATGGGCAACACCACCCTGAAGCAGCAGCTGACGGCCGCTCTTCTTGGGTATATAAGCAAGGAGCTCCAGGCCGATGTTCACTACATGGATTAGTGTCTGTGGAAACATTGGAAAACCTGATATGTTTCCTAAGTGCTCTGGAGGATGGAGTCTTTGAAAATAATGTGAACAATTTTTTTTTTTAATGAAGCTGGAAAGATTGAATGTGAAATCACATATTGCAATATTATAGACATGGTTACAGTCCAGGTAACAGGTAACATTGGTTAAAAAGCAAGTTAGCACATGACTGAATTAAAACAGCTGTATGTCTGGGTTAAGTATGAAAGGAAGTGCAATTATCTGTTGAAGGAATTATTTATTTATTAAGCCTTTAATGGTCCTGATGATCATGTCTGGCATAAAAGTTACTCTGAATGAACTAGTTGACTGCAGCTACAGTGAAGCACTGCTCTCAAAATGCAGTCTGCTGTCCCATTTAAATACAGAGGATTGTGTGAAATATTTTGATTTGGTGTGAATTTATGAAGTGTAGGAATTTACCAGCCTTTTTGTGTACAATATATTTTCCTGCCATCACTGAGTCAATTCAAACTATTTATTGGTTTAAATGCTTTCATCAATAAAAACAAAAAACACTATAGTTTTCACTGGTTCATAGTTTCATTTGCATTTTATCCTACTTGGCAGTTCAGAGACAATCTTTGCTGCTGCCATTACTAGTATATAATTGTAATTTTGTCCATTTGACACTAACCCGTTAAAATGGAAAAAGTCCCTAAAACAAGCACATTCCTTAGACATAACATGGTACTGAGGTCTCTTGTAGTTCATGTGTATGATCACTTATGTCAAATCAACTCTTATGGATCAATGAAGCATTTTTAATTCTGCATTTCACACATTTTTGTCCTGTTGCTGACTTACATTTTCTACTCTCAAATTTTGTCCTGTGAAACACTGTGTAAATTCTAAACTTTTGTGTTACATATTGTTATTTGTAAAATACTAAATAAGTACTTTAGAAATCTTCGTGGGAAATTGCAGTGAACCAAAGACGTTAAGATAAATGATCCTGGACAATTGAAGAAAGAATGAGTGAAAAGATAAAGAAACACAATAATACAGTTGGAAATATCTCTTTATTAGTACATAGGCATATTGTATGTCACCCCCAACCCCTTCGCAGAGCCATCTAAAAATACATATTACAGAGAGGAACTGCAACAGAGTTCCAGTATTTATCCAACAATGACAGTGTCATCATCAGGGAATTCATAGTAGGGAACCTCCAGGTTCAGAGGAGCAGGTCCCTTTCTTATTCTTCCTGAAGCATCATAGTGGGAGCCATGGCAAGGACAGTAGTACCCTCCAAAGTCTCCAGCATTGGCAATGGGCACGCAACCCAGATGGGTGCACACACCAAGGACGATGACCCACTTAGGGTTAACCACTCTATCCTTGTCGTGCTGGGGGTCACGCAGCTCTCCGATATTCACAGCTTCCTCTGCAGTGATTTCCTTCTCTGTGCGGTGACGGACAAACAGGGGCTTTCCTCTCCACTTGAAGGTCATGTTTTTGCCTTCAGGGATGTCACCCAGCTTGATCTCAATCTTGGATAAAGCCAGGACATCAGCTGATGCACTCATGGAAGAGACAAACTGGCTGACCACTGTCTTGGCTGCATAGATGCCAACTACAGTGGACGCTCCAGTGATAAGGTAGGAGAAGGTCCTTCTTGCCTCACCGCTCTCCTGGGACGACTTATTGGGGTCGACAACATCGGAGCGACGGTAGTCTGTGAAGTCAGGAATCTTGATGTCTGTATGGCCAAGGCGGACTGCTCCAGGAGCTGCAAATAAGACATAAAATGCAGTATTTAAAGAGAGAGGCAGCAGATGAACATGTAGATAGGAAATTATACAGTTTCTTACAAAAACAAAAAATGTAACGTGTATGTTACCAGAATTCTCCTTCAAAATGTTGAAATACATTTTGTGGATAGTCAACATATCACACTATCCTCTCATTGAATGTTTAATTAATAATCAATCTGATGATCATAAATACAGATTAATAATTTGTGGTGTTTTCAAGTAACATTGGAAATTGGATAATTTTTAGTATGGCAAGAAAATTTAACAAAAATCCTCCTTTGGGATTATATCAATATTGATTTATATTAACAAATATTTGTCATTGTAGATTACTGGAACCAGTGAAACCATTTTAAAAAAAAACATCATACCAGTCTAACTGAGCACATCAGCGAATATTTAGCATTTTGCTTTAAAAAGAAAAAAATGTATCTATACATTTACTTGATCATCAAAATCACTACCGATAACTTTGTGTTAATTGCGACACATAAAGAGATGTACATGGAATAATCAAATAAACGCATAATAGTCCTTACGATCATTCTGGCTCAGGTTTGTTTACAGCATTATCAGTGTTACACCTTATTCTTTCACCCAAGGGCAGGCATTACAAGTGTACTGACATGCAACCCGGGTTACATATCGTATCGATAGTTGTTTACCACAAATTTGTTCATAGGTTCCCACATTTGTACTGAAACAAGTGGACTGTGGTGTTTAGGTATGTTTCTTGAGTCTTAAGCCCTTAACGTCTCAGTTGTAAACATCTGATAATAACCAATGTTGACTCTCTCAGGTCACAGATTTCAGTTTCACCGCCTCGGCTATTTCCTGCTAGCACCGGAGAGTTGTTAGCAATAGCGTAAATTCGCAGACAAGAAGGACTGGCACAAAATAAATGTGTCTCAGTTTTACACATCATATCAAACTAATAGGCAAGAGGTCACTATATCAAGTTTTCTGGTTACATGACGCAGCTCAGTAACAGCTCTGACTAACGTTGACAGCCGCAGCGATTCGCCCTTACCAGCAGCAGACACCAAATCCTTAGCTCCGGGGAAAACCAGGCTTTTAACCGTGTGTTTTGTTGCCTGTGAATACAGGGAAAGAGCCCCTGAACGGCCGGCTATGGACATCATCTTTGCCCTAAAATAAGAAACTTTCACCCCGCAGTTGGGGACACGACCTTGCGTGTACAAATCTTGTGTGTCTCCCTTTAATTCGGTTTACTAGAAACCCGCTCCGCCTTACCAACGTTCCGAATTACGTGAGGTCTGAAAGAAGTGCCCGGTTCCTTTTTGCTAAAATGGCGTGTTATTATATAGCTTCAAAGTTTCTAATTAATACAAAACCTTAATAATATACATAAACGGTGTTGAAAAATGACGATAACCCGAACCAGAATGGTAGAAAATAAACATTAATTTAAAATAACCACTAATTTTGTACAGGCATTTCTCTAAGTCACCTGTATCCAATGGTCCTTGTGATGTAAACAAGTGTCCTCTCACAAAATATGGAGACGATCTACACAATGGTGACGTGAGAGTAAAAAAAGAAAAGAAAAATGAAAATACCAAAAAGAAAACTATTCCTTCTCATTATTTTTGCTTACGTGGCATTTTCACTCTATGCGGCATATAATGTCTTCTTCAGCACCAAAGTAATCTCCCGCGTTCACAGGGTGGTGAAGAAAGAAACAGGAGCACCCTCGGGTAATTTCTCTTAACACAACCGCTGTCTCTATGGCAGAAAGACCAAATGACCAAAATCCCGATAAACCGACAGTTAGAAACTCGTTTCTTTTTTTGAAGGTAGTTAAAAGAAATGCGTGCCCATACGTTGAATGGAAATTGTGTATTGTTTTTGCAGGTGTTGTCAGAGATGGTGGTGCAGTTGCTCCATTTTTAGCAGATGAGTGGAATCCGTGGGAGGATGAGCAGGTGGAGTACAACTCTGCTCTGAACAAAAAGAGAGAGACCTTTAAGCAGTATGTGGGTCGAATTGACAAGAGCAAACCCAAAAGATACAAGGTCCAAATCTGGGGGAAAGCTGCCATAGGTAAGTTGCGGTTTTATGAGATGTCATTTATCTGTCACAACTTGCAGAGATGATGCTATGACTTAACAGTGGTAGTTTTCGTTCACTAGTATTCATTTATTCGACAATATAACTTTCAGATCGTTTTCTGAGTGCAGGTTATAAATTGATTATTTAAAAACAAATCTGAAATTTTAGTTTTCAAATTTGATAAATGAAATTTGTTACTGTAGTTTCCAAAACCTCTTTAGAGTCAAGTTTTTTTCTCATGAGCTCGTATACACTTATACATGCAAACATAATATAATTCCCGTCTGAACTAATATGCAAGAAATACAGATCCTGGAAAAGACAATGATGCAAACATAAGGCACTGATAATACAACAGTGCAAAAAAGCATTTGAGAGTTTGTGTGTGAAAACTGAGTGCCTCTGTGTATGATGTAAAACCTTTATAAATAACTAAATACCAGGAGTAATGTGATGAAAAACTCTACTCCAACAGCATTGGGTAAAAGTTCTTGTATATTCTGGCAGCCTGACCCTCATGTTCTTATAGGCCTGCAGTTCAATTTAAAATTGACATTGTGTAGCCACACACGTTGAACTGAAAATAATATTTAATGTTGTATTGAATATTGTATTAAATGTATTAAATAAACTTTAAACTTTAAAAAGGAGAACACAACTTTGTTTTAATTAGTCCATATGAAATTAACAGATATACATGCATTTTGTACTATGTTGTATCATTTGTCCCACAGATGAGAAAAAGGATATATATTTAAAGAGATTTTCTAAATTTGACCTGGCTGCCTTTTTGTAACTGACTCAAACTTAGCAACAGATTAGAATACATGTGTAATTATGCAATAGAATTATCCAGGTTAGCCTGTTGACCAGCATCTTTGAATGCATGTTGTTCTGTAGCTGAGCCCCTAAGGGGGAAAGACAGTTACCCAACTGGGAACACACTGTTACTAGATTTGTCCTTTGAGTTTACAATGAAAATGCAATCTTGAAAGAGCAATATTGCATACTTCAATGTCCAAAATCAGAACAAGTGTTTTCTACAATACTCTCTGTAGTCCAAAAGTTAAGTAAATATAGTATTAGATTAAATTTGTTTGATTAGTATAACCCATAGTGTAAGGTAATAGTAAATAATAATAAAAGTCTACCACATTAAAAGGGCAAATATGAGAAGAAAAATATAAAATATCTCTAATAATTCCTCTTTGTTTAAAGAGAAATCACTACATATTTTTTTTCTTGCATTAGAGAAAGGTGTGCAACATTGTTGGTCTCTGTGAAAAAATTACATAATTTTATTTATCATTTGGAAAATAGATAAGGCTTCAATTGTAAACATCTATTAATCAAAACATTTTATACCATATAGTCTTTAGCTTGAGTTTTTCCTCTTCCCCTTTACTGCTAAGTTTATTTTTTACATGCTTGCACATTTCCTGAGTTATTAAGTTAAAGTGAGGCTCAGTAACTGCATACATATACAGTATATTTACACCTGATAACACTAGGAGTGTCTACATACATAGACGTAGATACAAACGACATAAAAAAAGATTTATACTCTGCTGTGGAAGCCATAGAAATTATCATCATGGTACTGTGCATGTTGACCTTTTAACTCCAATAGCAAATTGCATTGAACCTTTCTTTTCTCCTCAGGGCTTTACCTGTGGGAACATATTTTAGAAGGACCCCTCAACCCTACTGACAAGGTAGCACAATGGAGAGAGGGGGAGCTGCAGTCAGGAAAGATTGATTTCAGGTAACAAGTCACGGATGGGATGTTTAAAAAACTGCCAAACCCAAACATATATTCACAGCCTCTGTGAAATACACCACACCATATAACCACTGAAGAAGACTGAAACCTGTCACACTGATTTGTTCATCCTCCATGCCCTCTGACTTTTTTGCCTTTAGTTTCTACACAGGTCCTGCTGTGGTCCAGGGTCACGTCCCTCTGGACATGAACAGCCTGGTTCTGGTCCTGAATGGCCGCGAACAGCAGAAAGTCTCTTACTCCACACGATGGCTGGAGCATGTTCAATCTCTAGTTCAGTCCCGCACAGTGTTGCATGTGGCTGTGGTCATGCTGGGCAACGAGCGCTGCAACAACGACTGGATTGGCCCATACTTAAAGAGAAACGGTGGCTTTGTGGACCTGCTGTTTCTAGTCTACGACAGCCCCTGGGTCAATGACAAAGATGTCTTCCAGTGGCCTCTTGGTGTTGCTACGTATGTCACCCTTTAGTACTCTTATGTGTATTAGTGTGTGGACATCATGAGTGCTCAGCATCAGTACAGCTGTGCATTTTTTTAAATGAATAACATGGTCTAACATGTTGATCTGTTTTGCTTTTCTCTGTACAGATACAGGCAGTTTCCTATGATCAGGCCAAATGCACAGTTGATTACCTCCAACAGGCCATACCTCTGCAATTTCCTAGGAACTGTTTACAAAAACTCCTCCCGGGAAACACTCATGCAGGTGCTGAAACACTCAGGCCTCGATAAGGAATGCATCACCACTGCCAGGGAGAAGTAAGTCATTATTCAGTATTTGAGTAATTGTTTAGGGCTGATATGGAAGAGTAGAGCTTTTATTTATTGTGATTTTGTTTTAATCACTTTATTGTTTTTGTATTGCATTGTTATATAATGTAAATAGGATAAAAGGATAAAAAACAAAGACTGACATTGAGAATATTTGAATAAAGAACTTCTTCCCACTGACACCCTCCTAGTGTATACTTTTTTTTAACATGAAAGAATAATGAAAGAATATTAAAACTGTTGTTGTTAACAGTTGAGACAGTTCAGGAATGTTGTTCAGTCTAAGTGCTACATTTTAACGTGGAGAAAAAAAGCATGTTACTGGCCATTCCATTCCATCTATAAACTATCAAATGTATTCAAGGCCTCTGAGACCCTGGAAAATACTTTTACAGGTAAATTCCATTGTGTTTTCATGGGCTGTGTGTCTTTGCTGAGCTGCACTGGAGGAATAGTAATACAAAGAGGGAATGTTGTACTAAAAAAGACTGATTTGCTGAGTCAGACTGCTGAATCCTCACACTGTCACTGGCTACTTTACTTACAGTAAATGTAAACAGTTTGAGAAATGTCCCCACACATTTTAAGGCTGCTTCTTGCTTAGAATTTACTAGTATTTTGGGAGAATGTAGAGGAGCTGTGGTTGGTTTCACTCCTGTATGTGGCAAATAATACAGTTGAGTTTGAGTTTATCTCCTGTTAAAATTTCTGCACTGTCAATTTTTGCTTGTTTTGCCATTTTAAACAACATATCAGGGTTTTTTTTTCCGCTGAGGTGAGATGACTACAACATGACATGTCTTAACAGAAATGTACAGGAATGTATCTTGTATATTTATTACAGTGGCTTAAGTATCCTCTCCTCCCTTCTTGCTTCAGGTGGCTCCCTCAGGAGACAGCAGACAGTTTGAGACGCTATCAGACAGCTCTGGCCCAGAGTGAGCTCACTCTCTGCCCAGTTGGAATCAACACTGAGTGCTACCGCATCTATGAAGCCTGCTCTTATGGCTCAGTGCCCATAGTGGAAGATGTACTGACACCTGGCACCTGTGCGGCAGGGCCCAGCTCCCCACTGCGTCTCCTCAAAGCGGCAGGGGCACCCTTCATCTTCATCAGTGACTGGAAAGAACTGCCGGCCATCTTGGAGAGGGAGAGAGGGATGAGCCAGGAGCAGAGGGTGGACAGGAGGAGGAGGCTGTTGGAGTGGTATGCCAGTTTCCGTCAGCAGATGAAAGAGAGGTTTGCTGAGGTCATCGAGGAGACTTTCTTCAAAAGCGTCTGATTGTGGTGCTTAATTAACAAACCTTTAAAAGATCAACAGGGATAACACTTAACGGTGATTTAATTTATTTAGTGTGGAGAAATGTGATGTACTACTGGAATAGTGAACCTGGTGATGTTCGTGTATTATTCCTGTGCAGTTTATTAAAAAAATAATATGTCTGTAGTAAAGTTTCAAACCTGCCAACACTTGTCAGTTTAAGTCCTGTAAAGGGCTTCATGACATAATTGTATATTTATTACCTTAATGTTTACAATTGTGGAATGTCCTGGCATTTAGAGATCATGAATAATGAGCTGCCTTTGCATTTCCTTGCAAGTCCTTGCATTATTTTAAGTATGTTTTATATCTCTGTTTGTATGCACTTCATATTGTAAATTTTAGGAAACACTAAACATTAGGTGTAGAATGAGATGATAATGTGTTTTAGGCTGTGTTTGAAAATGGTACATAAATCTATTTTGTATTGTGAGCAGCTAGAAAATGGATGTTGTTTGTGTGGCATGTGTCGCTTCTGGTAAAAAAAAAAGAAAGAAAGAAAAAAAGTTCTATTTATTTCAGTGATGTGCTGCATGGATTTTTTTAGATGGTGCAATAAAATAAAATGGAGTGTTGTCCTGAAGAGAAATCAGTGGATGTGCTTGTCCTGTGCTTCATTTTCCCTGCAGATGGCGCTATGTACTAGTTAATTTTCAACAGTTACACTTATTTCAATTGAAATAAATTGAATGAAGGGGAAAAAAACATAAACTTTTGACTTTACCTAATTAACACAGATAACGTTATATAATGGAGCAAAAGCAATGTATTATCTTCTAACTTTTTAGTTTTTTTTACCTATTACCTTTAGGGACACACACCTGTATTAGCTGTAGTATATGTGCATGCATGGATGTAGTTAGGAAATAAGGGGGCTCCTGAGTTCATTTTAACTGGGCCTTTTATCAGCCCCCTGACTGTGGGCTCCCATGTATACTGTTTATCCCACCTGGCACAGCACTGAATGTCTGTAAATTTGAAAACGATGTCTTATCTATGAAATGAATCTATGAAATATTCTAATATTATCATTTGATTTTGGTTGAAATTCCACATTTAAATGTGGGTATTGATATATAGTGAAAACTCTTTAATGGTTTTAGTTACAAGTGATACTAAGGAAAACGTTTAAGTGTAAACTGCATAAGTCTTCAGTCACACTGGAAGTTATAGTCTGCTACAACAGCTGACTCATATGGACAAATAAAAAGCCTTCAGATTTGGGAGCAGGAGTGTCCGTCCACTGGTGTCCACTGGTTGTGTGTGTGTGTGTGTGTGTGTGTG